GCCTGACACTATATCCTAGGCTGATGCTGTATCCTAGCCTGATGGTGTATCCTAGCCTGATGCTGTATCATAGGCTGACACTGTATCGTAGCCTGACACTGTATCCTAGCCTGACACTGTAAGCTAGGCTGACACTGTATCCTAGCCTGACCCTGTATCCTAGCCTGACCCTGTATCCTAGCCTGACACTGTATCCTAGCCCGAACCTGTATCCTAGCCTGACCCTGTATCCTAGGCTGACACTGTATCCTAGTCTGACACTACTGTATCCTAGGCTGACCCTGTATCCTAGCCTGACACTGTATCCTAGCTCGACACTATCCAAGGCTGACACTGTATCCTAGCCTGACCCCTGCATCCCAGCCTGACCCCAGACCCCACTCCGGACACTGTATCCTAGCCTGACACTGTATCCTAGCCTGATACTGTATCCTAGGCTGACACTGTATCCTAGCATGACACTGTATCCTAGCCTGACCATGTATCCTAGCCTGATACTGTATCCTAGCCTGACACTGTATCCTAGCATGACACTGTATCCTAGCCTGATACTCTATCCTAGGCTGACACTGTATCCTAGGCTGACTCTGTATCCTAGCCTGACACTGTATCCTAGCCTGATACTGTATCCTAGCCTGACACTGTATCCTAGGCTGACACTGTATCCTAACCTGATACTGTATCCTAGGCTGACATCTAGGCACGATACTGTATCTGGCTGCTGTATCTGGTAATGCTGTATCTGAAGCTGACACTGTATCCTAGCCTGACACTGTCCTGGCCTGTGCTGTCCTGGGCTGATCACTGTATCAGCCTGCCTGTTCTGGCGATCTGCTGCCCGCTGATGCTGTATCCTAGGCTGATACTGTATCCTGGCCTGCTGTATCCTGGCCTGATGCATCCTGGCTGTGCTGTCCTGGGCTGATGCTGTGTCCTGTACGATACTGTATCCTAGCCTGATACTGTATCCTAGCCTGACACTGTATCTGAGCTGACTTGCTGTATCCTAGGCTGACACTGTATCCTAGCCTGACACTGTATCTAGGCTGATACTGTATCCTAGCCTGATACTGTATCCTAGCCTGATCCTGTATCTAGGCTGATACTGTATCCTAGCCTGACACTGTATCCTAGGCTGACACTGCTATCCTAGGCTGACACTGTATCCTGGCCTGATGCTGTATCCTGGGCTGATGCTGTATCCTAGCCTGATGCTGTATCCTAGCCTGATCCTGTATCCTGGCTGATGCTGTATCTAGCCTGACACTGTCTGGCCTGATGCTGTATCCTGGGCTGATGCTGTATCCTAGCCTGATACTGTATCCTAGGCTGATACTGTATCTAGCCTGACACTGTATCCTAGGCTGACACTGCATCTAGGCTGACACTGTATCCTAGGCTGATACTGTGTCCTAGGCTGATACTGTATCCTAGCCTGATATAGCAGCCTGGGCTGATACTGTATCCTAGCCTGATACTGTATCCTAGGCTGATACTGTATCAGCCTGACACTGTATCCTGGGCTGCGCGCCACAGGCTGATACTGTATCCTAGGCTGACACTGTATCTAGCCTGATACTGTATCTAGGCTGATACTGTATCTGGCCTGATGCTGTATCCTAGCTGATACTGTATCCTAGGCTGATACTGTATCCTAGCCTGATACTGTCTAGGCTGATACTGTCTAGCCTGATACTGTCTAGCCTGATACTGTATCCTAGGCACACTGTATCTAGAGCTGACACTGTATCCTAGCCTGATGTATCCTGGTGATGTATCCTAGGCTGATACTGTCTAGGCTGATACTGTATCTGACTGATACTGTATCCTAGCCTGATACTGTCTAGCTGATACTGTCACAGGCTGATACTGTATCCTAGGCTGACACTGTATCCTAGCCTGATACTGTATCCTTAGCCTGATGCTGTATCCTAGGCTGATACTGTATCCTAGGACATCTGTGTCTAGGCTGATACTGTATCCTAGGCTGTGCTGTATCTAGGCTGATACTGTATCTAGCCTGATACTGTATCTAGGCTGATACTAG